TATATATATAAATATAATAAAAATAAATAAATAGATAAAATAAATAAAAAGAATCAGACAGAGCCCATTTGTTAAACTCTAACAATGCTCTGTGGCTACATATATCCATTCTAATTAAAAAACCTAAACAAAACCAGTAAGAAACATTCTCCCAGACATCGCTGGCTTCCCTCCCCCTCGCGTTCCCTCATGAATGAAAATGAAAAGTCTCAGTCATTTAGCAGTCTCTCCCGGGTGCTGCAGTGGGCTGCGCATGTCTGAGTTTGACTGGCGTCTAGACAGAACTGCTAAATGTAATCAACATGCCCTGGTCTCAGAGGGACACTGCCATTGTGTCTCCTCCAAAACACACTGCCTTTCTGAAGGAGTAATATATATCGTGTTTTAATTACACGTAATGCATCCAATAAGATGTAATATGTCCTAATGCAGCATTCAGTATCCCATGAAAATTCTCTATCCAGTTGCCCATAGCATGAACAACTGGAACCTCATGCACTCTGCAGCATGTTCACTAACCTTTAGGGCATGACTCAGACCAATGATTTGTATTTTTGAAGTAAGATAAATGTACGATTAATTTCCTGCTGTCTGTCTAGTTAAAAACTGCACAAACGTTCCGAAAACCATCCCTGAAGTGAGACACCCACACATGCAGTGCTCCGTCTCATCAGCTCAGTGCACTGCTGCAAGTTATTTTGGATTAGCAAGAGATTTTTAGGCCCTGCTGTTTTCTTCTTTTCTAAGATAAAAAGCTCACCCGCATAATATATACCAAACAAGGCTTAGAGATGACACAGCAAGGTGAAAAATTCATCTATTCAGTATTAGAAATTGATGTTTCACAGCTCAGCCTCAAAATAATGACAAGGAACTGTGATGTTTATGATTTAGACACAAGATAATTTTAAGTGCTGACTTTAAGGAAGGCATTTTCCAGACAAACGCCATATTTAATATAATTAAGGAAGGTATTTTCCAGACAAACTCCATATTTAATATCATTATAAATACTTAAATACTTTTATAATTTATAAAGGAACATTTAAAATAAAGTTCACCCACTGTCATCAATGAACATATATCAGAAATACTTGATTACTCACTCGATACTCATTAACCACACTGGCATTTTTAAAAATATATATAAAAAATTTAAATAATAAAAAAAGGTTATAAATAAAAAATAATCATATAATAATAATGTGTGCCTAAATATATCCTTATTTAAAATTACATGGGTGACATGTAAAAAATAAATAAATAAATAAATAAATAACCCATTTGTTAAGCCCTTATTATTAAGATGATTTTAGGTGCTGATTTACTTGTTTAGATGATCCTCGTGGGCTTTGCTGCACCTGGACTTTGGAAAACTGTTGAAAACTTTGATATCTCGTTTTACTCTCATGACATTTTGATTATACCTTTTTCATTCTGCTGTTGATTTACAGAAATATTCTGATCATTTTGGTTTCCTGTTTTCATCCCACACTGCATTTGTTTACGCTGTTTACATTTGATGTTGTTCCCATGCTATATCCATGTATTGTTTTCTGATTTGTCTGCTTCTTGTAATAAACTGCTCATCATACTGTTTCCTATTTGCTTAGCATGCTCTGTAAAGTGACGTTTGGTTCTAGAAAGCTTCTGTGTAAATAAAACATGATTATTATTTTTATGGAGACCGCACAGAGACAGGAAATTGCTGACAACTGGTGTGTTCCATTATGAACCATGTGAACTTCTAGTAGGCCTCATCTCTAACATTAATTTTTTTGTTTATTCCCACCCTGGGCTCATCTAAATATGGAGGAAAGTTTACGGAAGGTTGTGAAAGTGTTTAAGCAAAGGTGCTGCTGCGGTTAGTACAGAGAGAGTGAGACAGGGTCTTACCGGCTGCAGAGAGAGATCCTGACTCTGTGCCTGACTAGCCCGGCTCAGGAACGACCATGTGGTGAGCTTGTAGTGGTTGAGCAGACACACGACCACCACGACCATCACAGTCATCACGACGATTATGATCACGATCTGCACAAACTCCAGTTCAGCTGCAAAATATAAAGACATAAAGAGTTTAGAACACAAAAAAACACAGATCCTGTTTACGATCAAAAAAAAGAAAAGAAAAAAAAGTTTAATCTCATTTTGACCAAAAGATGGCAGCAGAGTCAAATCAACATCCATGATGACTACAGATCCCCAAATTGGGTGATATGATATCATCTGGCAAAAAAAGCTGAGAGGCATTTTGGTTTGACATGGACAACAGAAAGAAAATAGATAGTATAGACTTAGAGTGAGATCAGGTGTATCAGCTTCAGAAATTAGATAAAGCCTGTTTATTCCGGTTCATCATTTTTAACTACGCATTAAATATTATTTGAGAAAAAAAAAAAACCGCTTTTGCTAAATAAATTCCTATCATTATATATTTCAAAGCCAGCAGCCAGTTAAGCCTTGCTGTAGACTGCCTTGCCTTTGGACTATTTCACCCCAAAATGAATATTTTGCCATTATTTACTTGCCCTTGTGTCATTTCAATGTTATTTTTTTCCATTGAACACAAAAGGAGAATTCTGAAGAAGTTATGCAGCTCTATTTAATATCATCAGGCACCACAGGCACCATATTTGATTTGCGGGTCAATCATAGCTTATTTTTCTGTCTGTTTCTCACTTAAATCTATCATAAAGCTTCAGAACACTTGGAATATAGTGCACAGGTCACATGGAATACAACTTGTTGCTTTAATAGTGCTTTTGAGATCTTGAAAGCTGTGGTCTATGAATTGCCACATGGAAGAAAAAAAAAAGTTGATTAAAGAGAGAGTTCACTCCTAAATGAAAATCCTGCCATAATTTACTCCCCTCATGTTGTTCCAAACACGTACGAGTTTCTGTTTTCAACAATTTAAAAACATTGACTGTGGCCCCTATTGACTGTGATTATATGGAATAAGAAAAAAAAAATCATACAGGTTAGGAACGACATGAGGGTGAGCAAATGACAATTTTCATTTTTGGATGTACTGGCCCTTTAAAGATTCTTTAAAATTCTCCTTTTATGATTCATGAAAACAACTAATGGCATACAGGTTTAAAATAACATGAGGGTGAGTAAATAAACAAACAGTTAACCAAAAAAAAAAAAAGTTTTTTAAAGATTTTTGGGTGTCTAATGATGAAACCAAAGTTTCTATCATTAACTAGCTTTATTCCAATATCCTGGCCTACAAGAACCAAAGTATTGAAGGTAAACAGCTCTATCGATGTTTCTTGAAACATGTTCTGTCTGAACATGAGGAACACACTGCTGGACTCACACTTGCTCTCTCAGTCAAGATCAAAACTGTTTCTCAGATGGAAATGCTTTTGGAGTCCATAGCCTTTTCAGACAACAAAAACGAGCCCTCCACCAACTGCGCTGAGGGACCGTTCTGGAACCTCGTACAGTCGAGTAAACCGAACAGAGAGGCTGAAAGTGAGAGTGTCACGAAGAGAGAATGAAAGAGTGAGTTGTTGCCTTCAGTGCAGTACTGCGGGATACTGGGACTCACACATCAAAAGAAACAAACACTTCTCTCCTAATTTAGGGCATAAGAGGAGGAAGCAAAAGATGGAGACAGAGCAGAGGGGAGGGCGAAGAGGAGAGAGAGAGAAAGAAAAAAAAAAAAAGAGGACACAGACAGGCAGCCAGGCAAAACAGACAAAGGAAGTGACAATCAGACAGGAGGGCAGATAAGACCGAGAGAATGAGACTCAGATCAGAATTCCGGTAAGAACAAATAAGACTACAAACACAAGCCTATCAGACTGGAACTGAATCAATACAAAACGAAATCACAGCAGGCTTTAAACTAGTCTATGAAAGCTGAGCTGCTCCTCTGACTTTATATCAAAAATACAGGAAATAAAGGCAAGTCTTTTTAAATGTACAGTGGGGATTTAAGAGTCCACACTGAAAATCTAATTTAACCTGGAAACAAAAATTTCGTCACTCACTAATCAAATAAGCATATCTGTGACATTGACCATGTTGAACTTGTTTGTACAAAAGGTCAGTTTTTTGGCTTCCACAGAAGTACTGACTCAAATCATAAAATCATACAAAAATTTCAATTACGTTTTTTATCATGTGGATGAAATAATTTATAATAAAAAATTATTTCAATGAAAAAAAGATAGAAAAATGCAAAGCAGAGGCATTTTCTTAATTGCATTCGAGACTTTTGGACCCCACTGTGCTTAACTGCTCAGACTAATTTCACAGATTTTGTTTTCAGGGTAACACTTACAAACACCACCCTAGCAACCAACTTGAACACCTTAGCAACAGATAGCAATGTAAAAACCACTCATAACACCCTAGAAACTGCTTAGAAGCACCAAGAGCTTAGCATGGGCAAGCATCACCCAGATGTAATATAAATAATTAGATTGTTAAAATAAGATAAACAATTAAAACCGACAACTCTGGATTCCTCTTTTAGGCGCTACGTAATATAATTGCGCCTACTGCACCCATGGTACGGCAGCAAAGTTCCTTAATTTTTACGCCGGAATGAGAGTATAGTTCCTAGCCATATTGGCCTAGGAAATCACAACTTTTCATTTTCCGTCGGTCTTAGTACACGATGTGACTACAGAAGAGTCACGTTTTAAATAGGAAAAATATAGAAACTCTTTGGTCATTTTTGAGCGAGATGCTAACGGTCTAATCAGATTCAATGATCTATACTAAGCTACAGCTAAAAGTGCTACCGCCAGACCCGGAGATCGGCTGAATGGATTCGAAAACGGTAAAACTCAACTGTTTAACTCTAGGGGAGTTGGAAAATGAGCCTATTTTCAGAAATAGTGGAGTGTTCCTTTAAGCTGGTTTTTGGAACACAGTAGCTTGTTAACTAACTAATGGCCCATTCAGATCAGCTAATGGCCAGCTTAGACAAGCTAGAAACCAGCCACCATGTAGGTTTTGTTTATTTCAATTGGTTTTCATGGTATCTGTTCACATCCAGAGCACATGACTTTCTGTAACACCCACATCCAGACAAGACACTTCAGTTTGAGAAAAAAAAACCCTACAGAGATCGAAATCCAGTCTAAATCAGTACATTAAAACATTCAAACTTTTGAAAACGAATCCCGTCTCAACAGTGCTTTAGTGACAGTGTTCTTTGATTGTTACTATGTCCTGTCCAATTCTCCCACTGACACACTCTCTGTCCTATTTAACACTGACCTCTTATGCCAATCACAGAGAGCCAGAAAGAGAGCGTGAACAAATGAGAGAGAGTCTGGGTATCACAGACTGCAGATTAGCCATACACAGACTGAGTTTCTCTCTGCAGACCACAGAGAGAGGATCAAAATCCATCAGGCCGTTCTGTCACCAGGCAGAGCAGACAGAAAGCTCTAGACCAGACCAGACCAGACCAGACGAGAGAGAGAGAGAGAGAGAGAGAGAGAGAGAGAGAGAGAGAGAGAGAGAGAGAGC